ACAATTAGTGTATGTATTGTACTAGTGCTAGTAATCATCTTGACAGCATGTGCTGTGATCATTGTTACTAAAAAAAAGACAGAACAAGTAAATGGTAAATATTATTTATAATTTTGTTGCAAACAAACTTATGATAAATATTATAGGCTTTGCTATTATTCAAAAACCACAAACTAAGCCCAATAAATATCAAGATTTTTTTGAATTAATAAATACAGTTCCTATTACCACATCACCTGTAGTGTCAACTAATAATGGACCAATAGATGATGAGAGTCCCTATCATGTTGATATTAGTGAGGTAATCTATTATCTCCTATTGTGATATCAAAATTGTTTCCATTGCTGACATCATATCTAGTTTCTTTCTCGTGAGACCATTCCTTCACACATTGTTGAAGTAAGGGTTATTCATGTGACTGTTATACTGTACCATGTTATTATAATGATAGTGAAATTATAATAAAAGATCTTATTAACAATAGAATTATAGTGTTTAGACTTGACATAAACAATTACTGAAAGGCTACAAATCTACAATAGAGCATCTTATAGATCTCATTTATAATTCATAATACCAAACTGGTTGTTATTTAGGAATTGATGCAGCAACAGAGCACAGCAACTCAAGAGGACAGCGCATCATCAACAGCATCAAATAACATTCATGATCCTGATGATCCTGCTGCTACTGTTAATACCAATGACGACACTACTCATACTGATGCTGTTATTGCTAAAAGGACTGATGCTCCTACTACACTTACTAATCCACCTACTGCTGTTACACTTGAAGTTATTGGACATGTCAATGCTAGAGTAAGTTGATTCATATTGATGATTATCATTTTCATTAGAAAGGACATGCCAACTGGTCTATAATGCCCACCATCCACTATTCAACTTTGTTGAAAGCAACTTTGTGGTTACTTTGATCTTAGGGCAACTCTGTTGCCTAAAATAGAACTTAGTTCTATTTTAGGCAACAGAGTTGACAGCACATCAAAGTAACCACAAAGTTGCTTTCAACAAAGTTGAATAGTGGATGGTGGGCATAAGACCAGTT